CAGTGTTGTTGATGTTTGAACCTTCCCTGGCCTGTCTGGGGAATGTCTTTGGACTGCAGCCGTTTGTTTCTGCTCCATTAACCAACTTCGAGCAACCATAAATTTCCTTTTTTCGATGTTTTTCTAACTGAAAGCCATTCTCTGGTTTCTGCGTCACGCTCATTTCATCCCTGCATGAATTGACTAACTTCTCAGAATGGCTGCTCTCAGAAGTTTACGCGAAAAGTTCCAGAGGAAAGGTATTGATCGATTTTCAGGATTGTGCCATGCACGTGATTTTCATTCGGAATCATAGAATGGTATGAAGGGTCTCAAGACCTGCCCAATTCGGAGAAAATGTGAGCACTCAGAACATATTTCACATTTTTCTTCCATAATGTGGCTATACAAAATGAAGTTAACGCACGGAAACCTAATAGCTTAGCTCGAATCCAATTATATGGATTAAGCACATTTGATACAACGCCTTTAGCATTGCATTGATTTTTCTTTTTCATTTCAGTATTACTGGAAATATTTTTGTTTTTCTATTACTTGTTTCTTGGTTTCATTTCTATTCGAATAAATAAATTAGTAGACATATAAAAGCTGAAAGAAACAGTATGAGATATGACCTCTACTCGAGTTGATTTACTGTAAAGTTAAAGCAGCTATGTCCTCTAGTTTGGTTATCCATAGCTAAAATATGGCCTGTATTTGGGTTACTTCTGTATGCACTCGGAATTATATCATTATAGGTTGCGTTCATCCGGGTATACCTACCTTCAGAAGAGCTGGGAGCCTCAAATTGATATAAATATGGGGCAAATCCATTTGAACTCAGTAGCTCCCAAAAACCATTCACGAATTTCAAATCGTTCAGAAATTGGGATAATAGAGAAGATCATGATATCTGAAGGCCCCCATTGGCGAAAGAAGCAGGCCCATAGCCCCATGAGAGTTGCATTCTTGTGTGTGTTTGTTTGTTTGTTTGTTTGTNTGTGTGTGTGTGTTTGTGTGTGTGTGAGTGTGTGTGTGTCTGTGTATGAGCTTCAGGAGGTGCAGCTGACAAGTACAAAGTTAATGCAACTGCAACATACAAAGGGCACTATAGGAGGTAATTTCACGTCTTGCCAAAGCCGGTTAGGTCTCTCTGCAGATGATCCAGTCCCTCGCCTTGTATTCTATTGCCAACGTTATAAACCGTCGTTTCCACTACAATTCATTTCATATAGAGGGATCTTCATTATCCCGAGACGCTCGAATGAGTACCGCATCAAAATTAGAGGATAGAAAACAAATAGAACAAATCTTACTATATTCAAACCAGAAGATACTATTTTTGGCAGAATTTTCCCTGAATTAATGATGTCTATTGCATTGCATCGGGAGGAAGCTTATGAATAGAAACCTTTTACTATCACTGTGGCAGAATGCCAAAAATCTCTTGTATAACATCTGGATGCTTTAGAGACGCTCTTTAGGGACATCACCCAGGACAAATAGGAAGGAAACTGACTTCAAACCTGAACTAATTGGGAGCAGACAAATCGGATCAAAGTTCTTGCAACTTCTCGAACTAAAACCGAATTATTTTTAGAGTCATTAAAACATTCTCTTGAACGTTTGGTCCTTAAAGATACTCTGGGGTAATTTATAATGTAATAGTTCACCTCTGGCTTACATCTATCAAAAGTTGACTATCATCTGCAGATTTAAAGCCTTCGTTCTCGCCTGGATCTGAGTCACGCATTGGTAAGCGATTGTGACACCTCAAGAGCTTACTAATCATAAGCAGATATTAAAGTCCGCATGATGCTGTGATATAATAATCACACATAGAGAATCAGAAGAAGTGTCACAGAATAAGCCTCCCATACAGACACAATAACAAATGGTCTGGGCAAGAATGGGGTAGTCTGTGGGGTCGCCTGTCAATCACTTGGCTTGACTACTGTACTATGAGGAAATCACGCAGGACTCTTAGGCCTCTCACAAGTTTTTTCACAAGCATAACACATCCACCTTACAATTAGTCAACTGAATTGAAATTCAACATGAAGAGCCAGCGACTTCGAACTGGTCGGGAATTTGTGGGTAGACCGGAATTTTCGGTCCCAGGGCCATATATGATGCTGAAGGTTCCTATAATCAGGGTCATGAAGCGCTGGGAGCGCAGTCAGGGTTGCTGACCATTTCGATTGAGTTTTGCACCAGAACTCAGTGGAAAGGAAACGTGCAGGTTAGTTTCATCCATGCTTTACAGCATATAAATGCCCTTTCTGGTTTGTAATATATCAAAGCAACTGATTGTCCCCTAGCGCCAGCTAATGTCGTTCGGTTGGTTCCATGCGATGATTATGGCCTTTGAAGAAGACGCCAAAATGTCTACCCATTCAAGTTGATAAATAGCTCTATGTACCTAGAAATCTTACAAAACCTTAAAATATTCCCATAACAAATAGGAAAAATAGATATCACTGTTGCGAAAGATCTACGCAAATGAGTTTGGTGGGAAATGTGGAAGAAGGTGTGTGAAACAATAACTAGAAGTCGCTCCTAGAGCTTTATTTTCACAGGCTGAACTATCGGTCCCTAGGGACGTTCATTTGTCACCGAACCCCATTTAGGCAGTGAACAACATTAGCTGTCTCTCCTCAAATTACTCTGCATTTCTCACATTCATTTGAATGTGCAGGTTTATGGCAATGGGTAACTGCAATGGGGCCACAGCAAATTTACTGGTTACTGATGCTCAAATGCCAGGCTTCTATGTCATCGAACAAATTTGTCAAAGCCGTCGGCAGTTAGGGAAAAGTTTAGGATGTGATTTACTATTCTGAAACGAATACGGGAGAATTCCTAGTATACTCGATTTCCTTGGTCAGCCAGCACTACCGTAGCATCCGGTGTCCTTCCCTTCATTTACGCTAGATTGAACTCTTTCACCAACCGTGTTATGTTTCCGGGAAAGGGGCAGACTTTATGGGTATCGTTTGGGGACCATGTAATCCTTTTTCTTGCCTAAAAATTGGATCGGCCCATCTTATGCTTTGCTGCTCATTTCTCCATAATCCTTCTTGTAATTGAATTCCTTTGTCAAGTGAAGCGTCTAGGAAACGTCCTTAATGTCCTGAAAGGTCGCTCACAAAGTCCACCTAGAAAAAGAGATGAAACCCCAAGTCTGAGGCTCCAAGTTGCACTGCTACAGTAATCTGCGGGTTCTCGTGGAACTCTTCCATCTCCTGCCTAGACGGGCACTCCATTCTGCAAATGTCTATAGAGTCTTGTGCAAAAGTAAAGCCCAGTTTAGCCTTTTTCGGCTGATATTTTTGCTTCCCTGGCATAGGCTGAGACCGACGGTTCTTCAAGTCTCCGCATTCCTATGTAGGACATCTTCTACATGCCTGAAGAAACCAGATTTATCCCCTCGAATAAGTGAGAGATTCTTGAACTCTGGAGACACCAACAATCCCATGCCATACCCGCAGGTAGGGTAACTTCCATTTCAGTCTGAAACACGCCGTCAGTCATTCGTAATCGACGTCTTCAAAGGAGGCGTATGTCTGTGGGATTGATGGTCTGCCCCTACATGGCCATCGATGGGCGTGTCACCGCTTTGGCGACGTCGCAACGCGACCGCTGCCCAGAGCTCAGACTCGATCCGACACTACTGCTCCGATGCCGCCACTACCACAAGCTCTTCTGGCTGTAGTCATCCTTTCCGTTACGATTGCGGTCACTGCGGCTCCGGCTACGGTAAGATGAGCCTTACCATACATGAAGTTGATTCTATGTGAATAACCAGTTGTATTGGTCGTGAGCGGTTTGAGGTGGTCTTTACTATCGAATAGGTGGCTGAAAGTGAAATCGCTTTCGAAATTTCTTCCAGTTCGAGCCAGCCCTTTGTCTTCTTACTATTTTGCGCCCAATCACGCCCAGGCTTCCATTTATCTAGTGTTGTTATATCGATTCCGCTGGCGGCATTAACGATTTGCCTCCCTTCATTCCAGCACTTTTCGCTGTCACATCCTTATGGCCTCTCATGAAAAAGCCCTGAACGGGCTCTATGGGCTCGGAATGAATTGACAAATTCCCATCAAAAGGACAAATTCAAGGAATATGAACCATAGACAGTGGCGATACCCAGAAACACTGCAGCAATGATGGTTTGCCTAATTATGTAGACGGGGAAAACACTAGGAACTCGTTAGTAACATTTCATCGGACTGCTCTGAACAGCCAAGCATCGAGCAAATAGCCTCATACTACTTACCCTCATGCCAATCAACGCGCTCAATCATACCCCGAGGGCGCTTTAGAGTGGTTTTTTCTGTTTGGGCATCTGCCATATTAGTCGTTAGGCCCGTCGGCATCGGCGCTTATCCATCATACTCGCCTTTACTCTTTCCCCTCCCCACCCGCCGCTGTGATGTCTACTTTATGAACACTTTTTTCGTAGTAATCTTTGTTCTATTCCGCGGTTCATTCCATTTGAGCTTCGAGGTCTGGTCCCATCCCATCCCTCTCATCTTCCCTAGGCCTCGATTAAATTTCTTCCAGTCCACATACGGCCTAATTGCTTTCGCATTCCCCACCCTGCAATCCAGGCATAGTGCTGCCGTTTTTCGGATTTGTGAAATGGAAAAGTCGTTTCTGCAAAATTCAGTCGGTAAAAATGGGAATAGGACATGCAATTTCATGCACGCCACAATTGCCCTTCACTAGGGCACTGGATAATTTTGTGCCTTCTGTCATTTGCAGACGGTAATCTTTGGTGACTAACAAAACCCTCTTCCTCCCGAGAACTGGAACCTTCTTCAAGGTCCAGTGGGAGGAATGAATATATCGTCTTCTCCGGTATTGGAAAGGCATGTTGCCTTTTCTGTTATTGGGAGAAAAAGGGAACGGTCAAGGCTGAGGTAAACCCGGTGGTCTTCCTGTCCCTCTTTGACCTGACAATCGGATCACGCCCCGGTCAACTACCTCTGCATTCATTCTGGGCAGTATTTCAGTAGTATATTAGGGATTGTCCTGTCCAGGTGATAAAGCTGACGTCTGGGACTCTGTTTACC